ACTTTCAGAAAATGCTTATTTATGTCATTCGTTAAAAGTTTTGTTCATCTATTTCATTATCGTTTAAAAAAAGTTCATTAATGCCATTATTTTTTAACAGTGATTTTGTAAAACCATTTTTTACACGTAACCAATCATAATTCGATCACGTCATTAATTTTCTAGTGAAAAAAGTCAAAATTCTGAACAATAATTGAATTAAAGTAACTCACCCAAATAAAAACCTACCCAAATCAAGTCGGTTGAGGCACACCATTCATTTGTTTGAAGTTTGAGCTTTCATTTTTTCCTTTTAAAATTGTGTAATTAATTAGTTACTTAAGGGCATGTTTGGTACGAAGAAAAATATTTTCTGAAAAATATTTCCCAATTTTTCTATGTTGGCTTAAGTGTCTTGTCAAATGAACTTATTTTTCTCAAATTTAAGGTAATATGACAAAAAAATATTTTGAAAAACATTCTAAATTCATTTTTTACCCCATCCAATACGATGACCTGCTCAACCTTCCCCCTCGTATAGACGATCTTCAGAGTTATGGGATGTCAAATACACCGACATGAATATTTGAATTCCTATAGTCATTTGCTTTTTTCTCTTGGGTAATTTACAAATTTTATTCACTAGTTTAGAAGTCAATTACTTAGATTCACGTTTGTTTGCAATATTACAAATTTTATTATATTTTGAACATGGAATACATGTATCAGGATATATGAGATCAAAATTAGGTGTAACTTTGTTCTAGATACATTGTATTCATGTATCTAACTTTGTTGCTCACCTCCCTCCCTTTCATCTCATCTCACTCTCCACCATCCTCTCTTGCTCGCCTTTGTCCATATTTTAGTATGTTTGATAAAAATAATAAATGTATCTAGTTCTATGACTTCAAATCTGGTATGAAATTATTTATTAGTGATATAATACAAAATTATTTTAAACTATAGAAAGAAGGGAAACTTTTGCAAATAACCACTATGATAAATTTAATTGTGCTCCATAGTAGTTTGCATATTTACGGGCCAAAGCTATAGTTTAAGCTGCCTCACTTGTATAATTCATGGGTTTGTATAATTCGCGGGTACATTTGTATAATTCAGTTACTTTTATATAAACTCGAAATAACGAATTTATACAATTACAAACATCTTAAGTACAAATAATTATACAAATTATATTATACCAAAATTACATTATACAAAAGTAATATAAATTAGAAAAAATGCACAAGTACCCCCTCAACCTATGTCCGAAATCCCAGAGACACATTTATATTATACTAAGGTCATATTATCCCCCTAAACTTATTTTATAAGTAATTTTCTACCTCTTTTCGGCCTACGTAGCACTAGCTTGAAACAAAAAGTCAACCGGCGTTGGACCCACAAGATAGTGTTACGTAGGCCAAAGAAAATTACTTATACAATAAGTTCAGGGGGTAATAGGACCTTAGTATAGTATAAGTGTGTCTCTGAGATTTCGGGCATAGGTTGAGGGGGTACCTGTGCATTATCCCTATAATTTATATTATACAAACATGCGAATCATACAAAACTTAAAAGCTAAGCCACATAATTATAGCTAAGAGTAGTTTGCGAAATGTAATTATGGCAAACTATTGCTATGTTAACTAATCAACTAGTATATGTTTGTTTATACATATAATTTCCCTAGAAAGAATTAGAAAATATGTATATCTAATTAAATAGTTTTCTTTTAGCTACTTTCACATATAGCAAACATAAAAATCATATTTGTATGTTATAATTATAGTTTGCATAATTGCGCTCCATAGCAAACATAAATATATATTTCAATATATATATATACAAAAGAAAGCAGTTGTATAATTTGTTTCTATTTCTATATACATATATAAAAAATCAATTGTATAATTTGTATTTCTATAAAGCGAGAAAGAGAGAAAGACAAAAGAAAATTGGGCAATGGAAGATAGTATTTGTATAATCATAAGTGTATAGGAAGAAAATATATACATTTGTATTTGTATATATAATTTTATCTCGCTTTTATACAAATACAAACACAATGTATATATTTGTGTTTGTATAAATTGAGAGAGGCGAATTAGAGTAACGAGCGAGATATGGGAGAGGGGAGAGAGGGGAATAAAAATATATGTATATATACAATTTTCTCTCGCTTTATACAAACACAAACATATATTATATATTTGTGTTTGTTTAAAAACGAGAGAGGCGAGGGAGAGAAAGAGAGTGGCGAGTCAGATTCACCAGGAGAGAGGCGAAATAACAACAATATGCTATTGGGTACAATTAAATCAAACTTTATTTATAGCATTTAGTTGAATTAGTAATTTGCTATTATATGCAATTTCCCCTTTTTCTTTTGGGAAAATTGTATATAATAGCAAACTAATAACCTAAATTAAATGGAATAGCTAGGGTTTGATTTAATTGTGCTCCATAGCAAACATTAGCTAAAATTTGCCAGCGTCTCTCTCCCAAAAATCTCGCTTGCCACTCTCCATTCTCGCTCGCCTCTCTCGCTTTATACACAGAAGTGTATAATTTTGTTTCTGTTTTGTATAAAGCGAGAGAAAATTGTATATACACATGCAAAAAATGTATATCTTCGTGTTATATACTTAATTATACAATTTACAAACATTTTACTTCAAATATTGCAGAGAAAAAGGCCAACGAATTATACAATTGCGAATTATACAATTGCAGTGAAATACAATTTTCTCTAGCTTTATACAACAAAAGTGTATATATTGTGTTTCTATTTTTGTATAAAGCGAGAAAAACATATATCTTATTGCTATACACTTATAATTATGCAATATACATACATTTTAATTCGATTCAACTGTATGCAAAACAAATTATACAATTGCAGCGAAATAGGCCAGCGAATTATACAATTTAGGCCAACGAATTATACAATTGTATATGTATAGCAAATTATACAGTTTTATGTTTGCTATGGAGCGCAATTATGCAAAGTTTGCTATAGCATAAAAATATAAATTTTTTGTTTGCTATATGTGAAAGTTGCCCTTTTCTTTTATTGCGTTATCATTTGTATTGGGCTTGTCTTTTTTTTTGGGACCCAAACAAATTATCTGAACTTTATTTAGCTCAATAAATAGAAAACGGCCCAATGAGTCAAATTTAACAATAACAAAAAAAATTCTATGTAAAATACACATGCAACCAAACTAGTACTCTTCTTTCCACTTTTATTTGTATATTGCACTTATCAAAAATTGATTTGATTAATTTTAAAATTAAATCAGATTACATTAATTCGATATTTTAAATAAAAAACTTAGATATTCAAATAATATATGAAAAGTACTATAAATTACAATTTTTTGCATATCAATATAATGAAAAGATACATCTTAAAATGTTAATCAAAGTTCTTATAATTTGACTCCAAAAATAGAAACATGACGACTAAAAGTGGACAGAGAGTGTGTGTATATATATATATATATCAATTTGTATAATTATGCTTGCATATATTTAATATATTTCATTATAAAGACAATTGGAACAGTGATGAAACAAATACATGTTGTTTTCTACTTCTCCTTTTTGGTTCCACCAAATATTCCATAGTTGAAAGTATAAGAAAGGAAGAATGGTTTGAATCTTCGTTTAAGCTGTTGACGTTCAATTCTAAGCAGCTTCCACCAATTGTCCACTTGCACTAACTCAAACTTTCTCTTTTTATATTTATTGTATATCTTCTATTTAGTGTTCAATATATATATTTTTTATATGTATGTCATTGTCAATTAATACAGCTTGTCCGTACGCGTATAATATCAAAATTAACCAAAAATATTATCACTTTAAAGAAAATATGGTGGAGGCAAAAATACACGAGATAGATATTGTTAAAATGATGATAATATTACAAAGGTTGGTTATTTTCTTAATTAACAACAATGACTAATAGTGAAATTAGCCTTAAACAAACTAGTTTAGACCGTTTGTTCGTCACGATGAGCATAAATGAAGACAATGGATAGAAGCAAGCTCGGATCATGTGAAGAGCTAAACAACAAGCTTGGGTGGGAGTGATGACGTTCGTGGAATAGACTGGTTTATTGTCGTTATTCATAGTTGAAGACGTACGCATAAGAAAAATTATTTAGATTTTGTTGTTTAGTTGCTATAAATATATTTGAATCGAGATGCTTTAATGGTTATAAATACTTGAATAATATGACAAATGCACAATCAATTTCTAAATACACTAAATGATGTGAATTATTTTTTGAAAAATTATAGTAACTTGATAAAAAATAAATAGAAAATTATAAGTAATATTACAAAAGGTTGTTTTGGGATAGGGCTCAGGCAAGACGAATCGAGACACATATTTATGGTTTAGTTATGTAAGGCTTATTCCTTAAGCATTTAATGGTACGTTTTAAACACGTCCAATGCCTTATACTTTGATGTTTACGCCTTGCCCCCGTGCTAAGTAAAATGTCTCACACCTTTTACAACACTGAATTTACAATATATTAAAATTTTTGTATACATCTTAAACACGTCTAATGCCAGATATCTTGATGTTTACGCCTTACCCCATGCTAAGTAAAATGTCTCATATCACCCACTCAACTCATCTTTTAGAACACTGAATTTACAATACGTTAAAAAATATCAATGTCTGACATTACATAGCGTCGTATTTTAGGACGTTGAATTCACAAACACATTATGAATATCTTTAGGTTGGCTTTGCTAATTCCATCAAAAATGAAACTAAACAACATTGTTGCGTAGTTATAAACGAAAAAGTAATAATTATGTTGAGTTGACATAATGCGTGTTATATACATATGTGCTACTTCTTGATAAAGTTTTATTTTAAATGTCTATGATTACCATGTTCAATTCATGAACTAAAAATTAGACTAGATTAACAATAAAATTCAACTTATTAATAAAAATTTACAATTTGCAACTTGTTTAAATTTTAAATGATGATTATTTTTTTTGAACAAGAATGTGGGGCAAAATGGACAACTTGCAAAAAAGAAAAAGAAAAAAAGACAACTCAACCACAGCTCCCCTTAAGTCCAAGTCAAGACTCTTTATATATTCCTTCCCTCTTTTCTAAAACACAAAAAACCCACCCAACACTTAAAAACACATATTCTCTTGTATATTCCGCCGGCAATATGAAATTCCGATCATGGATTTCACCTTTTTCCTCCGCTAACGCCGCCGCCGACCACCCTATTCCGCCGCCAAAAGGGATGTTTCCCGATGATGCAAGTAACTTCTCCGATTTACCCAGTAGTACTGCTTCACCGTCATTAGTTTCTCAAGAAACAAATTCTCTCAGCAGTTTACAGAGCAATCTCTCACTTTTAACTTTACCTTCTGTTCCTTCTCTGCAAAATCTCTCCCCTGCAACTTTAAACCTCGCTATCTCCGCTCGTTGCGTAAATTCTCTAAATCCCAGAAATGCCCATGTCACTTTCCTTGCTATGCATAACAATCTGTTATATGCAGCTTCCTCAAATGAAATCAACGTTTTCGAACTCATAAATTTCACACTTATCGATACTTTCAATAACAAAGACCCATCTTCTGGTTCTGCAAAATCTGTTAGTTTCCTCGACGGTAAAATCTTCACTGCGCATCAGGATTGTAAAATCCGGGTGTGGAAGTTGACACCCAATAAGCAGCATAAACTAATAGCAACCCTCCCGACGCTTGAGGATCGATTACGCCGGTTTGTGTTTCCGAGTAGTTATACAAATGTGAGAAGACATAAGAAAAAAATGTGGATCGAACATCATGATGCTGTTTCTGGGTTAGCTGTGAATGAGAATTTGATGTGCTCTGTTTCGTGGGATCGGTGTTTGAAAATCTGGGGAGGTTCGAAATTACGGTGTATTGAATCGATTAAAGCTCATGATGATGCGATTAACGCTGTTGTCGTAGGGAAGGACGGAACAATTTTTACAGGTTCGGCTGATAAACGGATTCGGGTTTGGGGGAAACCGTATGCGGAGAAGAAAGGTAAAATTGGATTAATTGCGACGTTGGAGAAGCATAAATCGGCGGTGAATGCATTAGCGTTAAGCTCCGATGAGTCTGTGTTATTTTCTGGCGCCTGTGACCGGTCGATTTTAGTGTGGGAAAGAGAAGACAGTGCGAATTATATGGTGGTTACTGGTGCATTGAGAGGTCATACGAAGGCGATACTGTGTCTGATCAACGTTTCTGATTTGTTGTTTAGTGGATCGGCGGATCGAACGGTGAGGATTTGGACACGTGGGAATCAGGGACAGTTCTGTTGTTTAACGGTACTTGATGGACATCGAACACCGGTGAGGTCATTGGTGGCGACGCCGGCGGAAAGCGGTGGTGTTAAGTTGTTTAGTGGAAGCTTTGACGGAGAAATTAAAGAGTGGCAAATTGTGGTTTCTAGTTCAAGTGGAAGTTGATATTTATTTTTTTTTTCTTCTCAATTTAGAATTTTAGAAAATAGATTTTATGTACTAACAAGTTTTTTTTTTTATAATTGTTTGAAATTTTATTTGGAATTTGGTGCTGTTATTTTATGCATTTTTTCCAACTTGACTACTTAGAGATAGTCAAGAAATTTAAATCTTTGAAGTGTTTGTATAGTCAAATGGTGTTCTATCTTCATATTTATATGATATGATTATATATATCAAATGTTTGACCACTTTAACTCATCATCTACGTACTATAAATTTTTATATCAATGTTTATTTTAAAGATCAATACTTCACTCTTGCTTTAAAAGGTCGAATGCTAATTATTCTTGTCTTTTAATATTTTTTTAAATCGTGAGATGAGTAACCATGGATATTATCTTGTTATTTGTTAATCTATATATGTAGTGAGTTATGTAGGTAGTGTTTTATGGGATATTAGCGAAAATAATTCATATATATAATATTTGTTTGCTAGTATTTTTAATCTATATTAGTTACACGTCATATTCAGTACTATTATTATATATAGTGAATTATACGATCAACAATACGAGATGTTATTCATATTATAATATATTTTTTTTAATATTATTGTTTATTAGGATGCTACTTATATACTCTACTCATTTAATACGATAAATCAAATGATCGATAAAAAATAATCTCAATATTATTAATTTCACCATTATTACTATATTTCATTTCATAGTATTCTTATAGCTATCAACCGAGCCCCAAGAATTAGTCTTTTATCAACTTGAATTTAACACATACTTATTATACAATAGTGTAAGGTGTTTTTACATGAGTTTTAATATAACATATAACCTTTTATTGACATTTATATATAAATAAAATAAAAAATGTTGTAGTAGTTCTATTTTATAGGTGATTTGATATGAGTGAGTAAACTTGTTTCAACGTTAGGGCTAGGGTGGCTCTAATAAAGTAGGTGAATTTGGAATGTTAAAAAATGGTAAGAAAAGAAAGAAGAATTTGGATAATTAATAGATAATGTTAATGTAAAAAGGTGACAAATTATGTTGCAGTAATCGAGATAAAGTCAACTCTTAATCATGTGACTAATCACGTGAAAATGAGTGATTATCTTCGTTTATATAATCCTAATTATACTCCTTGTAAACTAGAAATCAAGAACATAAAGACAAATTATTAACATTTTATAAACCACAAATTAATTAGTTGGCCTTTTCAAACTCTCTTTTTCTCTTTTAGTAAATCATCTTTAGCCTTTGTCTTTTACTTAAAACTTGTTGTTGTCGAATACTACTAATTAGGATTAATTAAATATTAATTCTTCTTTTTATATTCCTGAATTTGTCAGATGTTACTATGTATATAGACAAACAAGTTTATTGTCACCTTTAACAAGTCAATAAATCAGAATATTTTTGCCGACAATACGTTGTTAATTAGGAATTAGGGTTTACTTAATTAACACACAAATGTCTACTGATTATCAAATTAAGGAATTTAATTGCTACCCATTTGCCTTCAGAATCTTTTATTACACCGCCATTGGGTCTTCGATTGAAGATCATGTTGCCTTGACGGGTATTTGGGTATTCTGATTAAAAGAAATTTATTTATATATCGTTCGATGAATAGATAAAAAATAAGTTATTTATGTATAATATTGTATGACTTTTGGTTGATAATTTAGAATCATTTAAAAATTTTAATACATCTATAAATTACGATAAATTTTTTTATATTATTTGATCTTCGAATTCGAGAGAGGGCTTTCCTCTTATCTCTCAAATTATAGGCATTGAAGCGATCGAGAGAAAGTAAGAAAATCCGCTGTTCGGAAGAGAATACAGAGAATCCGCGAGGAGCTAGAAGGCTGTCCCTATTGGGCTGGGCCCTTCCCCATAAGGCCCCACCGTCGGGGGACGACCCGCCGAATTCACATCAGAAATCGCGCCGATCGGGAAAGTAATAAAGGGACGTTAAACGTAATTCTAGAAGGGCTTCCTATGCATGATAAAAGGTAGAATTATTAAAACTTAAGTGAATTATTATTTCTACATAGCTATGCATATATAAAATAATAGAGTATACAAATTCTCTCATAAATATTATAACTCCAATCAACTACCGAACAATCTTAAAATTTATACTTGCAAATATATATCCCCACCCGAATATACAATCCTCAAGAGTACTTTGTCGGAGGAAAAAGAATTAATAATATTGAGATATAATATAATATTTCCTTTTATATTTAATTAGAAGTATTAGTTAATTTTAAATCTATTATTTATAGGAAAAATTATATGAATAAATATATTTTTAAAAATAATTACTGATTTTAGATATATCTTTTATTTATTATCATTTATAATAATACTGTGATAAATCTGTAATATGTATTAACAATGAATTATATATGCAATATATTTGAATTATAATTGTTTTTGAAATATATTATGTTTGTTTGATAAAAAATTATCACATTGTATTATAAGTGTATTAAAATGTGTGATAAATTATCCATCATTAAAACTTGTATTATATTTGAATAATAAATTTATCTTTATAATATGTATTAAACTTGTATTATAAATGAATTAAAAATGATCAAGTGAAAAAAAATATTATTATTATAAATGGTAAATATTTTTTTATTATATTATATTTACGTAATTTTCCCTTATTTATATTATAGTAAAGGAATAATATAAGTTATTCCATATATATAATGAAATATTTCAATTTATTGGGATAACTTTTTTTTTTTAAAAAAATTCAATATGAAAACCTTCATATATACTTAAAAAAGCAACCTTAGATATACCAAAAATAGGGGGAATTAAAGAAAGAATAGGTTATTTATGAAAAATAGAAATAGGTGTACTGCACCAACTAACTTTAAGGTATGGTTCTGCAATATTCATTTTGTCTCAATCCAAAACTAACATTCTACAATTGATAAAGTGGCTACAAATGCCTTGTACGGATTAAGTAGGTACCTTCGAATAAAAGATAAATTCTAGAGTCGATATACGAAATAATTAAATAATATAATATTTTTAATATAATAAAGCTATTGTAATTCAATGGTTTCAGATGCTTAGAATGAGATAGTATTTGAGTGTTTAATTCTCACCAATTTTAATTTTGAATTTTTTTTTTGTTATTTTTGAATATTTTTTGTGAAAATCCTGACTTCGCTACTAATTATAAGATATTGTTGTCTAAAATTCTCCACCTAAAATGTCAAGTAACATGAATAGTTATCTCACTATCTTTATAGTGTAAAGGCTAGAAAATAAGCCAAAAAATATATGACATTTATATATATATATTTTTTAATTTCTTTGATAGACAGTTACAAAATATAACCCATAGCTCGAGATAAAATGAATTCTTGTTCATACTAATTAAACTTCCACAAAAAATGTATTCTTGTTCATACTAATTAAACTTCCACAAAAAGAAGAATTCTTGTTCATACTTATTAAACTTCCACAAAAAATGAATTTAATTTCTTGTTCATATAAAACATCCACTAAATTAATAAGCTTCAAGATGAAATAAATTCTTGTTTACATGTTGTCTTTACTAAAATAAATGATTGTTTCTTTGTACTTGTTATTTTACAAATTCAATATAGAAATAAAGTACTATTTTTCTTAGGGATAATGCTAAATGGATAAAAAAAATTGTCCAAAATTAATGAGAAATTTTAAAAAATTTATAATATCCTTTTTTAAAAAAATAGACTAATTTTTTTCTATTTTTAATTAAAAGGGTAGAATAACATAGTTTGAAATATTCTATTTTAATATTCCGGTCAAATTCTGGCTAAAAGAATTTCCTTTTCTTACTATTCTCGAGAATTATTAGTCTTGAAAATATGAATTTAATCACCATTGAGAAACTAAATAATTAATTCATATTCATTGATCAATTAATTAATAAAAATGAATTACCTTTAATTTATATTTATTTATTGAAAATTTGATTTAAATCAAATATTAAATAAAAATATAGTTACCTAATTTCGTAAAAGAAAGGAAAATAATGACATATAAATAATAACTATGAAGTATTAAACATCAATTAAATACGTCCATCAAAGTAAGAGGCTAATGATGTTTAATCATTTGTGACCAAAAAAAGTGTGTAGATCAAAAAGGGGCCAATAAAACATTACTAATTATTACTATCTCCGTTTAAAATTGTTTGTCATGTTGCGCTTATTGAAAATTAGTTTGACTAATTTCAAAGATAAATTAGATTATATTAATTCGATATTTCAAAAAAAGTTCAGATATTGTAAAATTATATGAAAAAAACTATAAATTGTAAATTTTTACATATTATTATGATAAAAAATACATTTTAAAATATCAATTAAATTTTTATAATTTAACTCTAAAAATAAAAATTATAACAAAATAATATCGAACGAAGAAAATACAAATACTAATAGTATTTATCTATTTTTTTATGAAAGGAAAAAAGATTGCAACTTGGCAAGTTGAATGTGTTGGAAGTGAAAAAAGCACACAACCCCGGTTACATTATATTGGTTTAGTCACTCGATGCATTTTTAAAGGATAAAAAATATTTTTTATTATACTCTCATTAAATTTTTTTGAAAAGTTGTAAGATTTAATTTATTCTTTTTAAAATCATATTTAATAAAGATAGAATTATAACTTTACTATATTAATTATTATTATCTTATCTTATATATGTTTTTTGTAAAATGGACAACTAAATAGAGATAAAAAAAATATTTAATTACTGTAATTCTGTTCATGGAAATATCCCAATCCATCAAATATTCAGATTTTTAAATAATACGTACAAAAATTGAAATATGAAAAGTTAAAGTGAATTTGAATGATGAAGTGGAAAGAAAAAATCGATATACACAAGATAATTAGCATGTGAAAAGTGACAAATGATGTTGCAGTTACATTGTTGTAACATTTTAATTAATCATTTATATTATCTTTTAAACTAGACTATCAATTAATATGAAGACAAATTAACCTTTTATAATCACATTTAATTTGCTGCACTTTTGCCTTTTCAAACTATCT